TTTCCATTGTCAATTAAAACTTTTTACAAACCACATTTTAAAGCTGGCGAAAGAAAGTTCAAATGACATGGATTATCTTTCTCTTGCAACTAATATACATACATCAGGGTTTATTGTGACAGTCACAAGTGAAGTACACTAAATTAAATTATTATTCCCATCTTAACTGACTCACTGGGTAGAAATAAGTTCACATGCCAATATAGGGGCTGATCTTGGTCCACATGACTGTACTATTGGGATATAAATTATCACAATATTTGTGTACTAACTGGATGAAAAGTGTAAACTTTTTCTTTTTCTTTTTTCTTTTTTTTTAAATTTTTTTCTTGCTTTCATGGGGACTGGCCTATACATGGAATTCTATGTAATGGGTCAGAATGCAATAGTAGAAGGGGTAGACATTTCTCAACCCAAAAACTGTTAATTCATTCTCTTATTCATTCATTTCAAATTGACTTACTAAATGCCAGTCACCAATGTTTGTGTAATAGATGGTAAAGAAGAGCTAGTACTCATGGAGCTGATCAGTAGGAGCTGCCACCACCAGATGTCCCTAACTCCACCCCTCACCAATAATCCTCTCTGAGTATGGAAACACCTTTTTAACCTTAAAAGGTTTCATATTCACCACATTTGTACAAAAATAGGTACGTTTTAGTGTCTGTTAACTGAAAAAAATACTTAATGACACATATGACAGTAAATTCAGTAATCCTTTCAATAAACATATTTATTCATCATAAGAATCTCTACGTATATTTGAAAGGAAGTAGTGCATTCATTCAGGAAACACTGTTTTGCCCATTGACAACATGGAACTGCAGACCGTTTGCCATGGAGCCTAACCCCTCCCCAGAAGTCTACAGACGTCAGGTACAGAGATACTGTGCTGAAGTCTGTGATGACCTAAAACCAGGCTGTGACCTCCACAGGCCCAATGCACTTGCCGTATTATGCCATAAGAATGATGCCATGTTCATACAATGTTAACTCTGTCAGTTTCTAGCAATGCTATTTTCTTGCCCCCAAAATCTCATAGTTTATATGAAAATAGTTTTCAAATGTTTTAGTCATATCCTGTTTCACACCGCACCACCTTTTGCCCCAGACACAACTGCATGTTGGCAGAAGGAAAGCTGAACTCTTCAAAGAAACTCCACCTTCTTACCATAAGGATGATGGTTTTTAGACAAAAGTTGTGTTTCGGATTCTCTTGTTACCTAATATCATCCCTGTCCTCAAAAGACACTTCTCGATCACTCAGCTAAATTGACTTCTATCAGGTCCACCTCACTAAATGTCCAAATGTGCCAGTAAATGTCCAAATTCCAAAAGAAAACATAACTTGACCTGATGCTTAGCATGATTCCACCATGCTAAACAATAGGTAACAAGTATCAAATAGTTGTATAGTCAGTGTGCTGAGAGACAAGAGAGAAATTGTCGCTAATTCTGCTGGGGGAAGAGTTCCCAGAAAGTGCATTTGACTTGGGCCTTGAAGAGTAAGTACACTTTTTTCTTTTTCTTTTTCTTTTATTATTATACTTTAAGGTCCAGAGTACATGTATACTTTTAACACATTGTGGAGATAGAAGAGTCATCCAGGGGAAACACTTCTAGGGAACAATGAGAATAGAGGAACACAACAAGCTGTCTAGGGACTCGGTTTTTTATTTTAGGCAATAATTACTGGCTTAGGCAGTTTAAGAAGTCAGTGTTGACCACTGCTTGGTAGACGGAGAAGAGCACATCAGTGAAGGAAAACAACATCCCCAAAGAGCAGATGGAAAAAAAAAAAAGATAAATGCCACAGTGAAGACAGAATCCAGGCAGAAGTAATCTTTTCCTCCTTCAAACCCTTTGGTACTTTTCATTCCACTCACATGGCACTTATCACAGATTACTTTGCCATCCAGTCCTTTATTTTCTTTTATTTTTTCCTCTAGTGGATTGTAATTGAATTCACACAAGGGGCAGCAATGTGATAGAGTGTAAATAGCAGAGGATTTGTAACCGGACAGTCATGTTCAAATCCTAGCTTCAACACTCCATGTGTATCACCTCAGACAGGTCTCTCAACCTCTCTTGGTTTTCATTCTTTATAAAATATGGATGGTAATGCATATTTATGACAAAATGACAAAACAACTCTTGGGGTTGTTTTCAAGAGTAAGTGAATGAAATGAGGCATACGAAGTCTAGCATACAGGAGACACGCAACAAATATATTTCTTCCCCAATCTTATCTCCATGTGAGAAAATGATTATCTTCACATCTTTCTCATAGTTGGTGCTCATTATGGGCTAACAGCAAAGTAGTTGTGTTACAGTATTGCATTCCACGTCACCCAGATTATACTGCCTTGAATAATTTGGATCGGTTTGTAGTCTACATGAAGTTTACTCCAAAAATCATTTATGAATCACCTTCAATAACTGGCACTGCTAGTGCCTAGGGCCATAAAATATGTTCAACAGGGGTCTTGCACTCTGAGTGAGTTATTTCTTTGGTGACTTATCCCTATAGAAAGACTTTTAAGGAAATTAACCAATCATATGGTGAATGGGGTCACTAAACCGGAGTAATACAATAATATATTTTTAGAGTCAAGTAACTCCTTCATGAGAATGCTTGATAATGCTATGAGGGCTTTAGACAAAAACTAATACTACAGCTAAAATCAAGACTCTTACCAGAAGAAAACATCTGGGGAGAAAATGTTGCATTCTACACTCACAAAACTGTGTTTGATCTTATTAGTGGATTGGTCCTTTGAGTATGATTGATGGATAGATTTAAAACTGGTTCAGTGGTGTAATAAAATTCCTGTTTACACACTTTTGTGTAACCTCAGGAGCTGGGAAAACACCACCCCAGGTTGTGATCCAAGATGAGATTATTTAAGGTAGCACCATGCATGATAGAAGCCTAAAGGAAAGAGGCTCAGTGAGGAACAGCTCAGACAGTGGCCACAAGTCATCTCCCAAGGACATAATGTCCCACTATCATAGATAGAGCAGTACTAAATGTGGCAGTACTTGTGGACAAACACAATAATCCAAAGATGCAGAAGAACAGGAAGAGATAAGAAAACTCAAGCGTACCTTAGATAATCAAGACTAAGAGGCTGCTTAATTAGAATTTAATTGGAGTGGCTCAAAAATAAACTGTAAATAGGTCCAGTTTAGGGAGAAACCTTATCCCTAATCACATTGCCGTTGTGACTATGCTCTGTTCTCTCTCCTTTACTCCACTCTCTAGCATCTTGACCCAATCCCTTATCCCTTTCTATATTTGTAAGGAGAGAATATTTATCAAGCCCCTCATATTGGCTGGACACTGTGCAAGGCATTCACACGTGGTATCTATTTCATATTACAATTACCCTAAGAATTCAGTGGTGGTATTAACCCCATTTTGCAGATGAGGAACTCAAGACTTAGAAAAGTAAGGACCTGCCCATATTTATACATAGCTAAGTAGAAGAGCTGAATATGAACTCAGGTCTGTCTGATGACAAAGTCTGTGCTTCTTAGACTGTTCAAGTTTAATATGTTACTCCTCTAACCAGTACTTATATTGTATACATTGATAAGTACTTGTTAAATTTTAATTTATTATATACTCTCAAAAAAATTTTTTAAATCATTTTAGACTCAAAGAAATACATTTCTAATGGTAAGATTTCAGCTGAGGTCCAGTGATAACTGGAAGCCAGGGAGATAAAATAAGCAGTAGAAAATCATCCTAGTTGAACTCAAATTATATCCCATGGGTGGCTAATGCAGCCAAGTCATAGGGCTAGATGTGAGTCAGAAAGAAAATGTTTTTGAACTTGCAACAGAGCTTCAAAGTGGTATGGTTGAAGGAGAGTGATAAGGTCGAACAAAAACTGCCTCCAACTTAACCTCAAGAAATGGAAAAAAAATGGGAATACACTTCAGAATGGGGATAAGAGCTGGATATAGTAGTACTAAGCTTCCCTCCTTCCTAAAATACATTCTATGACGTTACTATTCATGAGTATAAATGTTGTCTAGGCTATTCCCAGTTTAAAAAAAAAAAAAAAAAAGCAAATGGCCATATCCTTTTCAGCATTTTAATGTTGAGCTATTATAATCTCACATTCCAGTGGCCTTCTAACTGCATGGTTATAGTCTCCTTACACTTACTCTGAAATTGTTTTTCCATTGTTATCTTACATTATAGTCGCATCGTAATGTCATGTTTAAAGGTTCCCCATACACTTGTAATGAAATCGTTTTGCAGTTCAGAATGGCATCATATTGGCACTTTAAGCAGGGTATCCATCACCCTGTATTGATAGTTTTCACAACAAAACACCCTATTTTAGTGACTGTGAAAGTAAATAGCTGTTGCCAGTGATCTGTTCTTCCATTTCAAACTTAAATGGTCTCATCTGTTTTATTTTACCTTGCAATTTTCACACCCACTGTGGTATAGGCCAAATTTATACTAGTTGCTTTCAAATGAGGACTGTCATTCATTGGCTCATAAATGTTTATATGACAAGCCACTTATCTGTTTTGGTTTGGCCTTTTTGCAACAGATAACTCCTTACAGTCTGATAATCAATACACTTTGGCCACTTTATTAGTAAAGTTAATGTAGATAAGTCTTCTGCTAATCAAAATTTAGAGGCAAATTATTTGCTAAAGTTTTCAAATCAAACAAACTGAATATCTAAAAGCAATGTGTGCAACTATGAAAATTTTATAACACACTAACACCAAAGAAAGAATTCTACTTCCAAATGGTCACACACGAAAAATTTGAGTGGTAATTTGAGGCAAAATTTAATGAAAGACAAGAAATTTAAGAAGAATAAGTGTTATATTATAATTATTACCAAAAAACAGACACTTTTTATTTAATTTTTTTAAAACATCATCATCACCTCTTGTTGGTTAAACTTTGAGAGATTAACAATTTGGTTCGAGTCTCCACTTCAGAAATTAAATGTTACCTTACTCACACTTGGAAGTAGGCCAGAATGGGTGCAAGTCTCCTGACAACAGGCTTTGTTTTCGAGATCTTTCTATTCTCTGATACTAAAGGGGTCATTATTGCCTCCAACACAATTCCTCTACAGCTGTTTTGACAGTTCTTCACAGGTCTAGCTAGAAGTTGGAGGAGCAAAAGAGAAAACAAAAGTGATAAATTCTTGTAAGAAAAGATTTCTGCTAGCATTTTCAAATTCAAATTTGATATTCAGTTGGAGCTGGGGGCAAAGTTTCAGATAAGCCTTTATTGTATATAAAACTACTTCTCTGTCTTTGGGAGTTAACACTGATAATGAGGATGATGCAGCTAGCAAATCAGTTACATCCAAGTGTTAAAGACCATATATCCACTTGTTTTGGGTGTTTTTGCTTGAGCTAATGCTCAAATATGTTTTCTGTCAGGAAACAAGTGGCAGTAGCTGCAGCAATGATATTGGTTCTTGGATAACCCAAGGTGCCCCAAGAAATGATAATAATTTATTTAAAATCTCCTCCCCAAATTTGAATGCACTTTATTTAAAAGCTAAATATATGCTCTCCACAAGAGACTATGGCATGAGGTGAAAAGCCTAACTAAATACAAAATAGGATTAAGAATCACTCCACAGTGCCCAGTCCAAATGCTACCATCTCAGTGTGAAGATCCCCTGACTTTCATTTCAAAATTGCATTTAAAATAAACCAAAGACAAAAATTCTTATTTGAATGACTACACATGAAAAACTTGAGTGCAGTTTTAAAATATAAGCCTAATTATAGGCAGCTGAGTACTGCCTGAGAAAAAAAAAATCATATAACCTTGTAGAAGGGCCTAACTATACATTCATAGTGTCTGAATTTCTCTTCCCTCTGGCTCTAAGAGCATTTTAACTGCTTATAATCAGCATCCTTCTCTAATCCTGAAAGTAACTGGTAGTTCCAGACTTTCTTCAGTCTCCACAGAGGCTCAACCCTGCCCCTCTCATTCATAGCAGTTAATACTGCTTCCCTCTTCATCAGGAAAATTGAATTCATTGGTGTGATCCCAACATCCAGCTTTCTATCTCATTGTACCCACTACAACCTACAAGTGTATCTATGGCCACACACATTGACACTTTTCTTCCAGTCTCAGAGAAAAAGGTGAATTTTCCTTTGTTTAAGACCCCTCTTCTTCCTCTGGGTTGAGGAATCATTTAATCAGGTGAACCTCTCTTACATACATCTCAAGCCAGTCTGTCTCTCTCTCTCTCCTACTGTCTCCTTTTCAGCGTATAAACATCTTCAAGCTGCTCCCATCAGTGGAAAAAGATTATCCCTCAATTCTCTATCTCCCTTAGCCCCATATCTGCCCCAAATTATGGTCTAGCTTCTCTCCCCACCCCACCATGTCTCCAGCTAAACTTTTTAAAACATCAGCATCCATCATTTTCATTCACAGCTCCATTGCAATGTCCTCTATAGCTTCCTTTCTACTGAAATGTTCCTTATTTCAGTAGTCATCTTTCTGTATTTCACTAGTTACACTGAATTCTGTTAATAATTATCTCCTCCTTAATGAAACTCTATTCTACCTCGACTTCAATTCAACCATCCTTTCCTGATTTTCTCCAATCCACTCACTATTTCTTCTCTCCTTTTGACATCGGCTCATCTTCCTCTACCTACCCCTTCAGTGGTGTTTCTTCACCTTCTAAATACTGTTCCTCCTTTACCCTCATAAAACTTCTTTCATCCTTGTGACTCTAAATACCACATAAAAGTGGATGTGTCCTTTACCTCCAACACTGATTTCTCTCCTGATTTTTCTATTCATATATATAACTGCCCACTAAACAACTCTACCCGAATGTCCTGTAGACATCATAAACTTAGCATATCCAAAGTGGCATTTATCATCTTCTCCCAAACTCATCTCTTCTTGCTATATCCTCTTTCTAAATTAATATCACCTCTATCCCCTGAGACATCCAAACCAGAAACTTAGGAATCATCCTTGACTGGCTACTTCATTCTCTACATTAACCAAGCATTTCTGACTTAGTCAATTAAAATGTTATTGAATATCATACTCTCCTCTCCATCCCTACTGCTTCTCCCTTAGTGAAAGCCCTGGTGATCAGAAGCTAGTCTCTTCAACAGTCTGTATCTGTCTGCCTTTATTTGGTCTTGCTGCCTTCAAACAATCTTCTGCAAAACCACCAGACTGATATACCTAAAGGCCTAACCATATCATTCCCCTTCTTAGAAACCCTTTAGTTACTTCTCTCCACAGTTTTCCAAGCTCCTTCACATTGCATACTTTACCTTAAAGAGCTCTCTGCCCCTACTGATCTCTCCAGCTTCATCTCTCACTTCTTCCTGACTCATGTTGTATGATCTAGAAACACTTCAAAATTTCTCACAAATACCACTCTTCTTCACACATCCATGACTTCACATGGACTCAAGGGAAGATATGTGGGGTCCTTCTCTAGTTTGACTTTGATCTATCAGTCAAACTGTGGGTATTTGTCGGCCTTTTTTGGATTACATACTCAAATTCCCTCAGTTAAAGCAGCTTTATGGTAACATAACTGGGGAAATAAGAGACAGGAAATCACACAAAAGCAACACAGAGCCAGACCTAAGGGAGCACTGGAATATCATTCTAAATACAACATTAACTCTAGTAGGGCAGGAGCAGTGGGGAGCACTCCATGGCCACTCACAGTTTCCCCTCCAGAAGTATCTATTCATGGCTCAATTGTTCTACCATTAAGGTGGTCCAGCTGTTCATAGTGGTTGTGCTTTACTGGTTTGGGCACAATTGATTTATTTACTATCACCACACTGTGGCTTTTCTCTATTCTCTTTTCTAGTCCATGGATGTTTATTGTCTTCTCTCTGCATGTCTTTCTGTTTTACCTCATACCTGCCTTATCATTTTATGTATGACCAGAATTTAAACTTTCCCTAAGAGAGGATCAGATTAGTTGGTCAGATACCATGTGTATAGATATTGTAGGTACCTCTTTGAGAAGCATTATCCCTCAAAGTGTCCTTGTCCTGAGTGTGAGTTTCATATAGAGAAATTATGAAGATTTTTGAAAAATCTGCTACGAAGAAGACTTTGATATAAGTGCACTCTGAGATTCCTCAAGAGAAGGTAATATAACTGGCAGAAACTTTTTATGACTTGTAAGTTCCCTTTTTAGACAAGATTGGGTACATTCAGAGTGATGTGGTCTTAGATGTAAGTTCACTGTTTAAATTCTTACAGTTACACCATCATAACACTCACCTTTTACTGAGCAATGGTTAGGTGACAAACACTTCAAATACATTATTTTAATTCTTATGAAAACACTGGAAGTCAGTCACTATTCACACCTTACTGAAAATCAACAAGGAAAATTAGTATGTTCAAGGTTGCCCAAGTGACCTAATAAGTGATAAAAGAATTCTAATCCAAAACTTCCTGGTTCCAAGGCTAATCCTATTCCTTCTGTACCTTTGCTACATCTGGACTATATTTCTTCATCCTCTTGTCTGTAATTTACTACAGAATGCTCTATAATACTAACTACTTTATAGCTTTTCTTATTCTTCAGCCTTGTCTTTGTTCAATACAAGAACAAAGTTGCAGCTTTTGACACATGATGTCCTAGTCTCATTGTGTCTAATATATGTGAGAACTTTTTCTCCAAATTTCTGTCTGTATCATTCTCAGTCAAAAATTGATCAAAGTTTAAAAATTGACAGTATGATGTCCTCATTAGTCCAGCTCTTCTCTCATTGAGAAGATGGCTTCAATATAGATGTAGCCCAGCAGCATTTTTTTCTTTAGTATGTGGCTGCACATTAAATATACAAATATGCTGACATCTAAGTAATTTTAAAGGGAGAGAAATGAATGTGGTGTTTTAACTTTTGTTGACTCAGTAAAGAGGCTGGGAGTGTTCATATTTTAAATAAATGTATATAAAATAAAAATGTACATTTCAATGAAGTAACAAAAATGTGTGCTACAGTGGAAATACAAATATCCTCTTCTTTCTGAGTGGAGTTTTCAAAACTGAAGAGCTTAAGACCATGAACAACTACACACACCCCAGCTTATCTTAGTTCAAATACCACTCAGCGGTGCTGAGTTGAGAGAAATCCTTTGTGACATCAGGATGTTACACAACTAAACATGACTTCCAACATTTTATTTCTATCGTTCTTTTCAAATTGCATTCACGGCCACAACTGCTCTCTTCTAATAAAGGTGAGAGCAATAGCATTTCTTCTTTTAGAATAGCAATGATATTACCAAAGAAAAATAATCAAAGTTGGCAAATTTATTTTGGAATTCTCAATGGAAACCAACGTTCATTTAACTTGTCTCATAGCTCGCATCCCCCAAATCATCACCCGGGAATAGTAGCTTACAAATTTTAACATTAAATAAACGTAAAGCATTAGAACTGATGCAAAGTACTATTATTTTGACATACTGTAATTTGAAAAGGGTAAATCAATTTAAACCATTTTTGTCTAAAATCAGCTCCTAAGGCTATAAACTCATAGTGGTTGCCAAGTTTCAACCCAAAGTGAATGTTAAGGTCTATGTTATTAACCCTTGAAAAATGAGCTCCATCATGGAAACAATGACAGACCTGGGCACTACCAGGTGCAGCTGCTGAAACCGACAGTCAGTCAAGTAAGAGTAATGCATGGTTTCTTCATATGCAAATCACATAATATGTGCTTACCTTTAAAGAGCAATGTCAGATTATTGTAAAAGTGTTTAGATATAAATACCTTTTCTTAAGAAACCAAATTCATTTATACTGAACTCTCTATGGCTGACATAGCATGATAAATCACCTCATTACACAGGAAGCCATGAATATGGCTATTGAGGATGAGTGTGATTGTAAATGAGACTGCTGGAATTCTACTGTGTCTTGCAATGACCCTCAATAAAAAGATACCTGTAGATCATGGTAAGTTTCCCTTGGAAATAGTGCCCCACACTTACAATGTTATCCAAATAAGTTTTCTGATCCTTGGGGTTTGTTTCTTAAAATAACACTATTAGGGTATATTTTTCATGGCAATGTCCATGAGTTAAACAACCATAAACCTTCTAAACATGTTGCAACACATTA